TCCTAATACAGAGCATTTATTGCTTCCTCCCCGAGAGGAGTACATTGTACCGTCGGCATCCCGATGACCCAGCATTGATTGCTCGGGACCCCAAGCAGTTAAGAAGAGAAGACATTCCTTATCAGAATCAGTGCGCACATTGTCTGTACCTAATAATCACCTATTGACTACACTGACAGCAATCATGAGCTTTTGAGGTATAAATACTCCTTGCAAAAGGCAAGACAGGTATGCAACAAAAAAACTCTTTACTACAATACATACTCAGTGTTTTCTCCTTCCTCTCTCTTTCTAAAAGACTGACTAGATCGTCGGAGGGGATACGTCGGAAAACACTCCGGCACCCTTCTAACTTGTTTTTTTTGTTCCAGGAACCTCTTTCAGCCTTACTGGATCATTCTTCCGCTCCCCCAGGGTCTCCCGTCGCCGTTCCAGGTTATCACCGGACCTCGCAGGCTGTTCCAAGCAGCATGGTTGGTCCCTCAACCGGCTCACTCGAGTTCACCAAGGGAGAGATCTGTTTTCGTTTTTTATATTGTACAGAATCTTGCACGCACAAAAATCCATTTGCGTAACCTGACAATTCAAAGCCCATTGTTGACAAACTAAAAGTTGATTATCAAAACACCAAGGCCCCATATGAATAACTCTGGTAACATCCCTTTTATCTGCGAAGAAGAACTGGAATAAGTGGGGATTAACTTTGAGCGTTCGTAAATCCTTACAACCCCAAAAAGAAGACATAGTACTACGTAGGATAATAGGATTAACATGCTTCGCAGTGATGAGTTTACCGAAAAAAAACTCCTTTCACATTCAGCAATACCATCCACAATATCAGGGGTATCGATATCAAGGACACCACTTTCCTCCATAGAGAGAGAAAAGGATTTCAACTTCTTAAAAAACTGTTCATCCATATGGGAGACGAAGTTCAAACAAACAAGGCCAAAAAATAACATACTAAACCATACAATCACTGAGCAATTTAACACTGAAGAGATACCCGAAGAGAAAACCCAAGAGAAAACCGCAGAGAACACTGAGCAAACACATAAACCAGACAATCACCAAGCAAACACATAAACCAAACAATCACTGAACTATTTCACACTGAAAAGATACCCGAAGAAAAAACCCAAGAGAAAACCCAAGAAACCGAAGAGAACACCGAGGAAACCGAAGAGAACACCGATCCAACACATAAACTAGAAGCATAAAACCAGAGAGAAAAGCCCAAGAGAGAACTGAAAAGAAGACTCTCATAGGAGACTTAGAGAGAGAATTCTACCAACTTTGACATTACCCATTATTGATTGTAAGAATACAACGTATTGAGGGTAAGATTATCAATTTTAGATAAGAATATCACTTTTTTTTGTCAAAATATAATTTTTTGAGTCAGAATATCACTTTTTTTTTTTTGATAAGATTACTACTTCTTTTGGCAAGATTATCACTTTTGATAGCTAAGGTTACCACTTTGGGGTAAAGTTACCGATAAGGTAAGAATACAATTATATTATAACTTTTTTGGTAAAATACCACGTTTGGGAGTAAGGTTATTACTTTTTTAATAAAATTATCACCCTTAAAATTGGTAAGATTACAACTCTTTGGGTAAAATACTACTTTGAGGGTAAGGTTATCACTTATTGGATAACAACACAACTTTTTGGATAAGAATATTATTTTTTTTAGTAAGGTTACCATTTTTTTGGTAAAATTAATACTTTTAGGGGTAAGATTATCACTGTTTTGGATAAGATGATCACTTTTTTGATAAGTTTACCATTTTTTCCTTTTTTTTTGAAAATCAGGACCGGTCTTATATCAAGCTTAGTTATCTTAAATCAATACCAATCCTGGCACGTTTAGCGATCTAGTTTACCGATCAAGCTTTAGCCTAAATCAAGACAGATCCGAACAATGTTTAGCAATCAAGACAACCGATCAAGCTTTAAACTAAATGTTGAACGAATCAGCCCCTCCCTCTCTCTCTTAGTCGAAGTGTCAAACGAAGGCAGGACAGGAATCGATTTGCTTCACTTCCTTGGCGATTTGCTTCACTCAGCAGGTACACTACTCATCGAGTCATGTTACAACTGCCACTACCCACAAACAAATATTGCTAGTCTATCTAAGATTTTGAACTATTCAATTCTTTCACTGACTATTGTTTTATGGTGGAGAAAAGCAACATCACCAGCACTCTATGTTGAATTTTTCTTCGGTGAACTTTTTTTTTGTTTTGTGTTGATTTGTTTTGTATCAAAAATCTCCTTTTTTGTTTTATTTGATTTATTTTTGACGTTCCATTTTAGTAGATTGATATTGAGATTACTACGTGTTTTGATTCGGCCAATCTTTGTGGATTTGAATGGAGAAGTTGGAATTGAAAATAAAAATAAGCTTTTTTGTGTGGATTGAAATTTTTCTCAATTACGGAGAAACTAGATTATTGATGTTGTGAGGGTGAATTGAGAATATTTCGCCAAAAAAAATAAGGTGAATTGAGAATATTTTTTATTATCTAACTGGTCTGACTAATAACCCAACGGTTGAACCAGTAACTCATTGACCCGATCTTTTTACCAAGTTGATGTCCGAGCCGAGTTTTAAAACACTAGCGACGATGATGGAGGCTAATAGTGATAGTGGTGGGGCTACGACGGTGGTGGGTGCTAGTGGGTAATGGGTGGTGGTGAGTTATGGTAGTGGGTTGTGGCAGTGGGCGACAGTGGTGGTAGGGCGACGACAGTGGTGGGTGGCGGTGGGCAACGAGTGATGGTGGGTGGTGTTGGCATATTTAGTGATCATGTTTACCGATCCTACTAAAATCAAAACCTTTTATCACATTACCCAAATATTGAATTCAAGAACCCAAACCCGAAATCGAATTAAAAATCAAATTTTTGGTAATTATCATCTACTCCCGCACTGAATAAAAATATTTTCAATCAAACCTCAAACAATTTTTGTACATACAATTCAATTAAAATTCGAGCCAATTAATTTTTTTTAACATATTAAAATTCAAGTCAATTAAAATTTATTTTTGTACAAATATTTGAGAGATTGAGCTAATTAAATTTTATTTTTTTTATGAATTTTAAGTCTATTAACATGAAATTGATTGTTAATTTGATTAATTGAATATTAATTGGATGAACTTGCATATTACTTTGATATTGATGTGATAAATTGAAACTTTATTGGATAATTTAGGATATTAATTTGATGAATTGAGTTTTAATTGGATGTATTTGAAGATAAATTAGCTGAATTGAATGATAATTTGGTGTTAATTTGCTGAATTGAGTTTTAATAGGATGAAATTAAATATTAATTTGATGAATTTAATGTTAACTAATTGAATTTCAATGTTAATTTAATGAATTGAATATTTATTGATGAATTAAATGTTAATTTAGTATTAATTTGATAAATTGAATGTTTATTAGATGAATTGAAAGTTAATTTGATGAATTGAACGCTAATTGAATGATATCTAATATTAATTTGATGAGTTCCATTTTAATTGGATGAATTTGGAGGTTAATGTGATGTCAATTTTTTGAATTGCATTAATTGAACACTTTACAGATAAAATTGAAAACATTAATATTTTAGAAGTATTGTTACATGAACTTAAAAAGTAGACTTAATAATTACATTAATTGATTTTATTGTAGGTCACAGTATTTATTGGGACCCCTACCTATTCAATTGTTAGGATTTTCAAGTTTAGTTTTTAAGTTTAATTTTTAAATTCATGTTTCATTACTCATATTTTAGATATCAATCCGACAAAATGTCCATCTTTAAGGGATAAAAGTGGCATTAACCAATTAGGAAGTCAATATCTTTGTCATGGTTGATCGTTGTTTGTCATTATCGATCTTGATTTAGAAATAGGGTAGTAACAGTTTTATCCCGAAAATATGGACGTTTTATTAATTGGGTCTTTAAAGTATGAATTTTGTCAATTTTATCTCTAAAGTATTTTAATTAACATGCAATTTACAAATTGATATTACATTAACACATTTAATTCATCAAATTAACATTAAAATTCAAATTAATTAATATTAAATTCATTCAATTTATATTCAAAACCACTCAATTAACATTCAATTCATTCAATTAACATCCAATAAAAATTCAATTTATCAAATCAACAATAAACTAACATTCAATTTCATCCAATTTACATTTAATTTATCAAATTAATATTTAATTTATTAAATTAACATTCACTTCTATCTAATAAGCATTCAATTCATCAAATTAACATTCATATCCAATCAATTAACACTCAATTCAACAAATTAACATTTGAAATAATACAAATAAAGATTCAATTGATCAAATCAATACTAAAGTAACATGCAATTTCATCTAATTAATATTTAATCCATCAAATTAACATCAAACTAACATTCAATTTTATCGATTAAATATTCAAATTATTAAATTAACATTCAAATTCAACAAGTTATATTAAATTAATCAAATTAACTTTTAAATTCATTCAATTAATACTCAATTCATTGAATTAACTTTCTAAATCAAATAATAGAGATTCAATTTATCAAATTAACACCAAAGTAACAAACAATTTCATCTAATTAATATTCAATTCATCAAATTAATATCAACTTGACATTCAATTTTATCTAACAAGCATTTAATTCATTAAATTAACAATCAAATTCATCAAATTAACATTAAATTAATCAAATTTATGTCAAATTAACATTTTTTTTAACGTAGAGAAAATATATTGAAATGAGCCAAGATTACAAGAAGCAAAGAAGCAAGGCTTTAACAAAAAAGGGAGAAGCCATTGCTGGCCTAAGTCCTACAAAAAAGACAAAAAACATCTTAAAAATTAGACTTGAAAGCCAGCTGAAGATCCAAAAAACAACTCCAGCTGGAAAGTCCTCATTGAAGCCCAAAAACCAATGAACCAGCTAGAGGTGCAAAAGGACATGAGACTAGCTGAAAACCAGCTGAAAAACAGAAAAATCAGCTGGAAATCCAGCTAAGAACCAACTGCTATAAAACCGTGAAAAACCTTGTTGAGCAGCCCCTGGAGAAAGCAACAACAACCCAGCAGAGTGAGACCAGTCAATAGCAAAATGGCAGGAGCAACCCAGCTGGAATGCGTAGAAAACTAGCTGAACAGAACATGAACAGAGCAAAAACAATCCAGCTGAATGAGAACAGACAGCATCAAAGGCAACCCAAGGGAAAACAACAACTCCTTAAATCTTGAAAACTTAATCTACTGAGCCAAGAAAAGAATCTTCCTCAAAAGAACCCAGTATTTCTGCCTAGAATCATGCTTGATCAGTTTCATTAGTGCCTGAATCCATATCTGTTAGTCTGCTTTGGAATTTTGAACACTAGCCTGGATTTGGATTTGGACCTAGTCATCATCCCCGAACTTTCTTCCCTAACTGGAACATGATACAATTCCAATGCCAAAGTAACTAGACTCTCCTCTTTTTGTTTTCTTTTCTCCTCCGCAATATTGAGTCTTCTCAGCAATCTTTTGGACGTAGCCATAAAAGATTCATAATCAAATGTAGATGTTAAAACATCCTCCTCTCCATCAGAATAAAAACCTCTTGTGTCTTCATGAACAACCAGTTTTTTGACATAGTCATCTTTTGAAAAAATGCCCTTTGATTTCAATGCCTGATGTTTTTCATCCCTAGACATTTCTGGATTAAACTCCGCTTGACTGTGGACTTGCTGATGAACTTCCTCCATCATTTCCTTGGTAACAAACTTTGGCTTGTGTAAAGAATAATCAATGAAAGCTTCTTTCAAAGAATGTTCAATACCATAATCACTATCATCATCTGAACTGGAAAAAATCTCACCAACCTCACCATCTTCATTGTTCAAATTAAGCAAGTTGAAAGAGGGTTTTCTTATAGACTGGTTAGATGTAATCATTCCAGAATCATGAAACAAAGAATCCCCAAAATGCTTAATCAGAATATTCGTAACCTCTACTGTAAGATCAACATCTTCCGAGTTCATTAAAATTTGAATTGCCTTCTCCCCTACTTTGCCCAACTGTTGGCTTGGTAAGTCTTGAGATAATAGTTGCACATTGTTAACTAAATTTGACGGCTTAACCAACACTACTCCATCCTCATTTCCATTAGACTTTTCTCAGTGATTGCTTGATTATCCACTTCTACTTCTCCTTCCTAGCCATACTCTTCTTTTAATTTTTCTTATGCACTTTTAATTTTCTAGTTTTTTGTACCCTTATCTTTTTAGGACTCCTTTTCTGCTTCTTGTCTTGGGTCTGTATCAACCCTACACTCTCCATGTTGCATGTTGATTTTTCAGTACCAATTGATTCCAGATTAATATTGTCATCCACACCATGTTTATGATCCAAAACAACTTCATTAACCTTCTGCCCAACCTCTTCTTCTTCTGGTATATTCTCTAGAACAATTTGCTCCTTACCTTTCTTCTGTTCCATCCCTTTTCTTTTTACTCTATCCTTAGTCTTCCTCTTCTTCCTACATTCGCTTGCCAGATGACCTTGCTTAGAACAACATTTACAATATTTTATCTCTTTCTCATAAACTATCCTTTGCCATCGATCCTTCAATCCACCCATATTAAGCTTAACGCGATCCGGGTTTTCCTTTAATAGATTTAACAATACACATACTCTTGCTACACTTGGTCTTGAGAAATTCAGTGTTGGACCATCAATTACCAACACCTTCCCAATGGGACTCAATAGTATTTCCAAATACTGTCTAGGAAACAAATGCAATGGCAATGAAGGAAGAAATATCCACATGGGCATAATAGTTGGTTCAATTCCAGACTCAAATTCTGGAAACCATTTGAAAAATCGAAATAGATGATCATTAATGTAAGCTTTGTCCTTCAGTAAAACCTTTATAAGATCTTCATAAAGACTAAACTTTAACAGTACATGTCTAGTATCCAAGTTTCCCACAGAAAACTCACCTTTAAGAAACCATTTAAATTTTATAAAATCTCTAATATAGCTTAAAGAAGGGCGTCCATATGAACACTTACCAATGATAGCAAATTCTAGTGGCTTGAAAGCCTCCGTCATCTCTTCTCTTGTCCAAGCCATTGTCGTTTCCCCATTGTGAGAGATCACCCTTTTAGTTGGCTTTGCTACAACAGTCTTAGAAGACTGTGTATCTGGAATGCCACGGCCATGAAGGGGCTTTTTGAAGAAAGACACATAAGAAGGGGCACGGGCCTCAGAGGTCAAGATCTGAGCAGCTTCAAATAACGAAGAAGCAGCTATATGATTATTAGGTGTAGGGATATGTAGATGTGATGAAGAAGCAATGGGAATGGATGGATCTGGTAGCTTTGGGGGGATAGATCTGATCATGGACAAACCCTCTGCTCTCATCTACTCTCACGCAATCAGATCAATCTAATTAACATTGAATTCATCTAATTTATATTCAAATTCATCCAATTAACACTCAATTAATCAAATTAACATCCAAAATTATTTAAAAAATATTCAATTTATCAAATCAACTCCAAAGTAACATGTAATTTCATCCAATTAAATTTAATTTATTAAATTAACACCAAATTAATATTGAATTCACCAAATCAATATTCAATTTATCAAATTACCACAAAATTAATATTCAATTTTATCTAATTAATATTCAATTTTTTCTAATAAGCATTTAATTCAGTAAATTAACATTCAAATTCAACTAGTTAACTTTAAATTAATCAAATAAACTTTCAATTTCCTACAATTAACACTCGATTCATTGAATTAACTTTCCAAATCAAAGAATAAAGATTCAATTTATCATATTAACACCAAAGTAACATACAATTTCATCCAATTAATCAATTTAACTTACAATTCCATCTAATTGATATTCAATTCATCAAATTAATACCAAATTAACATTCAATTTTATTTAATAAGCATTTAATTCATTAAATTAACATTCATATTCAAGTAGTTAACATTAAATTAATCAAATTAACTCTAAATGAACATTCAATTCATCTAATTTATATTCAAAGTCATCCAATTAACACTCAATTAAGCAAATTAACATCCAAAATTATTTAATTCAATCAAATTAAACATCAAATTAACATTAAATTCATCAAATTAATATTAAATTCATCAAATTAACACCAAGTTATATCTAATTAAAATTCAATTTTTTTCTAATAAGTATTTAATTCATTAAATTAACATTCAAATTCAAATAGTTAATATTAAATTAATAAAATAAAGTTTCAATTTCGTTCAATTAACACTCAATTCATTGAATTAACTTTCCAAATCAAACAACAAAGATTCAATTTTTCAAATTAACCCCAAAGTAACATTCAGTTTCATCTAATTAATATTCAATTAATCAATTTAACACCAAATTAACATTTAATTTTCATCTAATTAACATTCAATTTTATGTGATGCATTTTCCCTGGAAATTCAAGCATTTAACGGCTCTTTTTAGCAGTTTGAAATTTCAAATATCTCATGTTTATCGTGAAGCCAATTCTGCAGCAGATTTTTAGTTAACAAAGTAGTCTATGACAGAGAGGATACTAGATTATCTCTACAGCTCAATTACCTACACATGCGCGACTACTTCTTTAGCAAGATCAAAGACAGGTGAGAGTTTTAAGGAGAAAGATCTCTCATTGCAGTTGAACTGTTGGTAGTTCACACTGCAAGGGAGTCTTTCAAATTTGTCTACAGGTTGCAGATTCTATTCAAAGATATCATCTCCAGCTCAACATGCAGATTTTTCAGCTGGTTTGTGTCTGCTGGATTTTTCTTTCGGCTGGAGTCTTCCTCTACTTCAGCTGGGCTCTTTTAATAACAGTCACTGTTCACGTAACTTCATATTACTATTCAGCTGGACTCTTCATTCTGCTGGTTTTCGAATTCTCCTTCAGCTGGACACTTACAGTTCGGTTCTTTTTTGGACTGTCAGCTGGAAACTGCTTTGCTGGTTTTAAGGTTGTTACTGGGAGTCTTATTGCTGCATAAGCTCTTTTAATTCAGCTGGACTCCTATTTAAGTGGCCTATCTTTTATCTGCTTATCATTTAGGAATTTAAAAAGTTGCATGTTTAGGATAATTAACTTTTAATTTATTTTTTGTACTAAACATGCATTTTTGCTTTTCTTTACTTATTTTATGTAATTAGATTGCATTAAGGGATACGTCCCCCCTCGCTAGATGTAGTTTGATTTTTTAACTTAATAAAATTTTCTCGCACCGTCGAGGTTCACAAAAAAAATAAAAATCAATTATATGTAATAAACATGTATTTCATTAATTAAAAATTCAAATTTAACTAGTTAGCATTACATTAATCAAATTAAATTTCAGTTTCATTCAATTAATGTTCAATTCATCAAATTAATGCCAACATTCAATTTTATGTAATAAATATTTATTTCATTAAATTAACATTCAAATTCAACTAGTTAACATTACATTAATCAAATTAACTTTCAATTTCATTCAATTAATGCTCAATTCTTTAAATTATTGCAAAAATTGCATTCAATTCATCTAATTTATATTCAAAGTCATCCAATTAACATTCAAGTAATCAAATTAACATAAAAAATTATTTAATAAATATTCAATTTATTAAATCAACACCAAAATAACATGCAATTTCATCCAATTAAAATTTAATTTATCAAATTAAAATTTAATTCATCAAATTAATATTCAATTCAACAAATTAACACCAAATAAACATTTAATTTTATCTAATTAGCATTCATTTTTTTAATAAGTATTTAATTCCTTAAATTAACATTAAAATTCAACTAGTTAACATTAAATTAATCAAGTAAACTTTCAATTTCATTGAATTAACACTCAATTTATTGAATTAACATTTCAAATCAAACATTAAAGAATCAATTTATCAAATTAATACCAAAGTAACATACAATTACATCTAATTAATATTCAATTCATCAATTGAATACCAAATTAACATTCAATTTTTATCTAATTAACATTCAATTTTATCTAATAAGCATTTAATTCATTAAATGAACATTTAAATTCAACTAGATAACATTAAATTTATCAAATTAACTTTTAATTTCATTCAATTGAAACTCAATTCATCAAATTAATGTCAAATTAACATTCAATTCATCTAATTTATATTCAAATTCATCTAATTAACACTCAATTAATCAGATTAACTTTCAAAATTATTTAATAAATATTCAATTTATAAAATCAACACCAAAGTAATATGAAATTTCATCCAATTAATATTTAATTCATCAAATTAACATTAAATTAATCAAATACACTAACTTAACATTCAATGCATCAAATTGATATTCAAATTCATCCAATTAACACTATAATAAAACATTTTACTTCAAAAATCATCCAATCAAGCAAATCAACACCAAATTAATATATAATTTCATCCAATTAATTTTTAATTCATCAAATTAACACTAAATTAATATTCAATTAATTAAATTAACATTAAATTTTGTCTATTAAACATTGAATTCATGAATTTAACATTCAAATTCAACTAGTTAATATCAAATTAATCCAATTAACATTCAATTTACCCAAATTAATAATCAAATTCAACTAGCTAGCATTACAATAACATTGAAATTCCACGATAAATTGAATCTTTATTGAATAATTTTGGATGTTAATTTGATTAATTGAGCATTAATTGGATGAATTGGGAATAAATTGGATGAATTGAATGGTAATCTAGTGATAATTTTATGAATTAAACATTAATTGGATGAAATTAAAAGTTAATTTGATAAATTTAAATTTAACTAATTAAATTTAAATGTTAATTTTATTGAAATTTAATGTTAATTTGATAAATTGAATATTAATTTTGTGTTAATTTGATTAATTAAATATTAACTGTATGAAATTGCATGTTACTTTGTTATTGATTTGATAAATAAATCTTCATTGAATGATGTTTGAAGTAAATTTGTTTTATTTAGTGTTAATTGGATGAATTTGAATATCAATTGGATGAATTTGAATACCAGTTGGACGCATTGAATGTTAATTTAGTGTTAATTATTATAAATTTAATATTATTTAGATGAATTGAATGTTTATTTAGTGTTAATTCGATGAATTGAATATTCATTGGATTAAGTTGAATTTTAATTTGTTGAATTTAATATTAATTTTGTATTGATTTGATGAATTAAATGTTTATTGGATAAAGTTGCATGTTGGTTTGGTAAATTAAATATTTATTCGATCTTCTAAATAAAAATTGAATATTTTAGGAAAAAATTAAAAAAATTGATACTTTAGAAATTAAACTGACAAAACATGCAGAGGATAAAAGTGTTTTTATTGGATCGGTCATGATTTTTCATGATCGATCCTGATTTGGATAAAAAATCAATAATCGGTAATACGATCGGAAATGTTTGTGATGGATCGGT